GCTCGGCTTTCGGGCAGACTTCAAGCCAAAGCAGATGGGGCAGGCAGGGCAGCATTTGGCCTCTGCTCTTCTGAGAGCAGCCAGTAGCCAGTTTAAACTAAAATGGTAGCTCCAAAGGTGCAAGAATGTAGTAACTGGCTTTTAAAGGTTAGTTTCCCAGTGGGGTTTATCGGGCTGCAAAATCCATAGGCAAAGGTTTTTCAGAGTCCTAGACCGCTTCCCGTGTTGTGTGTGGAGATGGAGCCTGCACCAAGTTGGCTGTTACTACAGAGATGCTCTTCCTAAACATAGGAATATCATATAAATACCAAACTCAGTTAAGTAATAGATGAAGAAATAAGTCTATACAGCAGAGCTGCACTAAATTGGCATAGAGACTGTTTGGTGAGGAAAGAGTAAGTTTCCTCCAAGCCGATATACATTTCAGTTACATCAAAAATAAACATTTTTCAGACACTTCAAAATGTTCCTCAATCGCAGGAACAGTACAGTCCATTGAAAGACCCAATCTCCAAGAAATGCAGTGAGTTTAGAAATCATATTTTCCCTGTTACCTTGAAGATCTGAAACTCATCTTGAATCCCCCCGCTCCCAATACAGGTTGATGCAAGCAACAGCCCCTATCCGCGCTAGAAAGGAACATGCCCTCCCTTGAAACCACAGTCTGATGAGCAACTTCCCCTTTCCTGGTATCAGAGTTTATCAACTCGTGCAAAATAATAATACAAATTATTTTCTAAAGACTGGAATGACATACTTAGTACCAAGATAACGAGATCCTATTTTGTGGGCAGTTCATTTTTACGTTTTCCAACCCTTGTTTTTTAAAAACCCTAGGAATAGCAGCCAAAAAAAAAAAAGGCTGAGCATCAGTTCCTGTGCTGTAGAAGTTGAAATGGCCGCTCGAAGGTAAAAGCTATCTGAAAGTTTGGTTACTGCAAAATGACTCAAGGCCTGTTCTGTGTCATCAAGTGAAATGGGTGACAAGTAATGATTAGTAGAACAGTGCATGGTCAAAATTCAGGGTATCCAAAGAAGAGAGGATCAGAAGTAGACTTGGACTCCACGATGGAACAGTTTTCTGCTAGAATATATTAGAGCAAAGAAGCACACCGTCATGTTTAAAACACGGCGAATAAGCCTACGGATTACCAAGCCAAAAGGATGCTTCCATTTAAATAACTCAAATTGTATCTCGTTAAGAACTCACGGGTACCAGTGCTTCTATTTCTTCTGTTTGCTTTAAACTCAACCTTATTTTAATCTGGTACGGAATAGGGGAAAAACAAGAACCAGCTGGTTTTCCTTATGGTCCTCGTGGGTTTTATGCCACGTTCTTTTTAATTCTTCACCTTTTACAGTAACCATTACTTGTCTTTTGTAAAATCCTATTGTACATAAAACACAGGACTGGCCATAGTTCGCGGCTGCGTGACAGAGGCTGATGAAGCCATACTAGTGTTCGATTTTAATGTAATTTTTTTCCGATCAGTCTTCCCGTTGTTACTGTACCCCGTGCAGGTATTTTATTACGCTGTCCGCCCTGGCGCTCCAGCCTCTCCTTGGAGATCGCTGCATCTACACAGCTGAACAAAACAGGAGAACGTCGTCCTGTTTTGTGCTCTGTAGCCCACGGTGCAAACGTGGGCCTGGTGTACGCCCTTTACGCTCTTCGGAGGGCAGGGCTGCGGTTTGCGCCGAGTCTCACCGGTGAGTAGTTACGTTACTCACGTGTACAGTTTGAACATCGAAACGCTCTGCTCTAGAAACTGAACCGGCGTAAAATGGTCACCAGTAGGGTTCTGGGTGGTTGGTTGGTTTTGACTATAGCCTCTGGTGTTCTCCAGGAATGCAATATAGAATGTGTCAGGTCAATTCTATAATAATATTTAAATAAAATAACCCCCCTGTTCCCCTGCCAATTTCACGTTTCGAGAATGAACTCCAAAAAGGGGTGTAGAGAGAGATTAGCCAGCGGATGGTTAACTCCCCTCATTTTCAGCCTGTCCCAGGTACCACTTCCATGCAGTTACACCGTTGTCGATAAAATACATTAGAATAGAAAAGGAGTGAAAGACCTGGCAGTTACCATCTCTGCTGCGTGGTGACACAATTTGTAATGAAGGAGTGAGTATTAAAAAAGTTCTTGGTACAGGAATGTGAGGCCTTTCTTCCTTAGCGAAGATCTCTATGAAAACCCCCCTCTATCTTTCTCTTCCTTCCAAGTTGATAGGTGGTTATTCAAATACCACGAGAAATTACGAAAAGTCAATAGTTTCCAACAGTATTTTTTTTTTCTTTGCTCTTGTTTGTTGATATAAAAAATGTATCGGCTGTCAGGAGAACGTTGAACTTGACTCTGCTCTTTTTGTTAAGGATCGGTATCTTCAATATTTAAGTAGTTCCTGTATGACTAGAATCGGCGTGCGTCTCTGTACTCGTACATCAGCGCAGCAGAAGGATACTCTTCCTAGTATTCGCCAAAAATACCTGCGCCCTCCTTTCCTTTTTTCTTGAGTTGGCTTACAATATGAAAAAAAACCCCACAGAAACCTTTGGGAGTTGCAGTTCAAGGCAGGAGGGTCACTGCGCTGTACCTTCTTACCGGTGGTCTACGCTCTAAAAAACTTCCTCCTTGTGGGAGGCCAGAAGCCCTCCCAAAACCTTGGAAGTTCTCCCAAAAACTTGACCAGATTTTACCTTAATGCTACTGCTGATAATTAAAGCGTGACCTCTCTGGCTGACCAGAAGCCTGTTGAGCTGTTTAGAAATTGTTCCTGATTTCTTCACAAATGAGAACGCCTGCGCTTCGGGATAAACTTTGAAGCGAATCTTTTGGCTAGGAGGTGATTCCTTCCTCCACGCCTCCCCCTGGGGTAAGGAATCCATTTATAAATCAGCCAGCACGGAAACAAATTGTAGTTTAATATCTTGAAGATTTATAATTGCAGTGTTTTTTTTTTTAAAATAGGTGTACAGCGTTTGTAATTTGTCTCGGGACTCGTCAGTCGGAGTCACAGAGCTGTTGTAACGGGGACAGGCGAATGCCGCGCGGGGTGGGGCAGGTGAATATTTCTTTAAAGCAGATTTGTGTCAAATCTGCCATAGAACCACGGAATTATTTTTGTAAGACTTTTCTTCACCTTGCATAACTATGAAATTTTGTTTTATTGATAAAAATTGTGTACTCTTTGTATTCCCTAATACTGTGGTTTGTACACGGAATAACCCGAGTGATACCTTATTTACCTGTATATAGTAAAAGAGGCATATGCTCTGTTTTTAATTCGGGTTAAACCGATACAATCTAATATTTTTACCTTTGTATTTTGTAAATTGTTACTTACAAAGGCAGAAGCATTAAACACCACTTTGGCTACAGTATGGCATGGCCTGCTCTCGTTATTCCATCAATAACTGAATCGCGTTCTGCAGACACTGAGCTATAAAGGTAAATAAAACCTCTTTGTAGTTCATAGAACACTCGGTTGCGTTGGCGCGGTGTAGCCCACACAGCGTTTCCCCCTCACCGGCCGGATGTATGAACGAGATGCAGAATCAATATTTCGAAACACCGTAATTCCTCTGCAGGTTTGGTTGAATAGAGAGTCAAACATTAATATTTTTCCACTGATCCCTCTCCATCTGTGCTCCAGGTTTTGGTTTCCCTCGCCTAGTTGGCACCCCTGAGGATCAGAGCCAAATTCCTGTGGATTTCAGTAGGAATGTGGGTGTCTGGATACCTTCGTGTATCTAAACTGGGATCTCCTTGGGCTGTTGCTTTATTTCAGTTGGCATTTTGCTTCCTAGCGGCTGTGCGTTGCTGCACGTTTCGGCGCACGTGAAATAGCTTCGTTCCAAATGCGCCCGCCCCGGGACCGCCACTCGCATCGGATTGTCCCCACGGGAGCCCAAACCAAGGGCTGCCCCTTTGGCCAGCTTCTGCTCCCTGTGGCACTTAAGTTTAGTCCAGCCTAAAACCTCCAGACTGCGCCTGGCGTAGGCGTGGGGGCCTCTGCAGGCACGGCTGCGGGGGGCGGCTGGCCCCTCCCCTTCCGCC